CTGCATAGAGGAAGGGCTTAAAGAAATCTTTGGAGATGGATAGCTGAGACTTTGTTCTGTTTAACACCAGTAGGACTAAACTGCATGGTTAATAGTATGCTACAGAATAGAGTTCTTTTTTTTTTTTTTCTTTGTGATTTAAATCAAAGTGTGTGTGTATACACACACACATTTTCTTCCTGAGAGACAGCTGCAGTATCTCTGGCAATTGGAATTAATGAAAGATGCTGCAATCCTTGCAATCAATGCAGTTACATTGATTTATATTGGTGTAGGAACTGACCTTTGTGCTCAAAACAAATCCAATGATGGCAGAAGAAAAAAAAAATCCTAATAAATATACATAAGACAAAATTATCAGAAGTGTCTATGTGAATTAGCAGGAAATCAGACCCGAGCTTATTTTACTATAGAACAAAAGTAGCTGAATCTTTAAAAAGGAGCATCTATTCTTTGTCAGGTGAAAGCTGGGAGGAGAATGAGCATAGCTAAAAATCTAGCATCTGGGGAAACTGTCTAAGAAGGAAGTGAGGAAAAACCCAACTCTTGGCCCAGTGTGGTGTGGCAGCGGCCTCTCTGCACTGCTGTGTAATTCAGAGGAAGTATTTGTAGGAAATGGAGCTGCTGCAAAGGGATGAGCAGACCCAGGCATCTGTGCTCGTTGTCTATCCTGGTACCTGTTTTTGCAGCTGGAGGTGCTCAGTCCCACACCTTTACCTTCGTGTGCGCTTCTTTCCAGCCCCAGAAACAATCAACAGTCAAATCAACGTGATCCTGTTAGAAGGCTATCACTTTTAATATACATTAAGAAGCCTTCCCACAGCTACTTTTCCATGCCATGATATTAAGGGAATCAGCCAAAGAATCAGCCGAGAATGCACTGATAATGCAATTACTACAAGATTGATGCTTTTAAATGCACTGTTGTTGACAAAAAGCCCTCAGAAACCTGAAATGTTAATCTGTTTTTCTTTTGCAAATTGAGTACTGCCTGCTGTGTACATCCTTTTATTACTGTAGAACTGCTCATAAGCTCCAGGCTGCTGGCATTTATTTATTAAAAAAGAAAAAGTATTAAGAAACAGCACTGAAACATTTTTCTGTTGGACTCCAAAACAAGAATAATTGGCAGATATGGGGGGGGGAAGGAGATCCAAAATTCTGGCCCAGAAGTATTGACAGATGAGAACAGAAGGAGCAGTGTCCGTATCCCCAGGGACTCAGAGTCAACGAAACAAAGCTGACTTTCACAACTACTCGTCTAGACAATCAAGGGGCTTTTTACAGATTGATGCTTATGTTTAATAAAGAGGCCAAACTGCTTGAGTCTGCACGAAGCTGTAGGAAATAAAAAGCAAAATTCCACAGAGTGGTGCAAGAGCAATATAATATAATTGCAGAGGTTTCAGAACATAATCTTGATGAAAATGGGCAGCTTTCCTAGCCAAAAGACACCTTCTGGTGTCATTTATCAGCAGCTGCTTTAGAAACCTGAGGTATGCTACAGTGATCATTCATAGGAAGCTATGCTGTCATTGAAGACCAGATTTTTTCCACTTGTTCGTTTTGCTCCTTTGAAAACAAGGAGCTGCATTATTATTCCTCTTCTAATGCTGAAACCTTAGAATCTACGCAACTGCTTTAACCTGAGCACTGCTTACTGTTGTTTATTCTACAAGCACGTTTCAGAAGCACCTATAGTGGAAATTTCCCCCAGAGAGCTTAGAATCAGGAACCATCTCTAAGGGAAAAACTAATTGGAATTAGGATTCCAATCACTATTATGTATGAATAATTTCAATTATTTTTTAAAAAATTAAATTATTAACAGTCAGTTACTCAACCAGAGATTTATTAGTGTTTATTACACTGCTGAATCGTGTTTTTCTCTTGGGATGGGAAAGTGCTTATTTTCTTAAAGGACTGCTTAAAGGTGTGCATCAATTTTCTTTTATTGTAGCATTCTCTTATATAGAAAACCCTAATTTCCAAAAAAAAAGAAGAAAATATTATTTATATTGTCTGGTTACCTGACCTCCAGTTTCCCAGTTCCACCTGCCTTTTGCAGAAGAAAACCATCCAAACAAGACACAAGACCTGCGTGATGTCTAGTAGGATACGTGGCATACGATGAGAGAAACAACACTGGCCTTCACTTGGTTAGTGTTTATAAGGGTTTTAATATTTTTGGAAAGAGCATGCAATTACTGCATTCCTAGAGTCCGCAGAGTGAGGTCTGAAGTAACACCATCCATGCAGGAGTTGTAGCTAGAACAAACCAGGCTGTTATTGCAGCTTACAGGACGTGCTTGGGGAGATCTGTGTTTGTGCAGTTCCTTCAGATAAATCATGGACAAGATAAATGGGATGGAGCTGCTGGGATGTCTGCAGGCAGAGGATGGGAAGAATGAGTCTCCCCCCAGCAGCCCAAGCAGAGGCTGGGACAAGCCAAGACAGCCCATCTGTGGCCTCCTGATGCAGGAACTGACCAGGACTCCCCACAAAAATGGAATCGCTAAACTTTCTTAAAACCAAAAAGGTGATCTAAAAGCAAAAAGGTGATTTTGCTTTTTTTCCCTTTAACCATAAACATCAAATACACTTTCGGTTTTGCCAGCCTGCATACAAACCCTCTCACATCCACTGAACTGACAGCTTTCTTATGCAGCCACTGTGCTTATGACTTCTCTAGTGTTAAGAGAATAACATGAAAATGGCACACAGAGTATGCTAAAGGTGACTTTGAAGTGCCAGTGAAAAGGTGATTTATGGCTTGAATAGATCTCGCAATGACGTGATTATTTGTTCTTCCCTAATTTTTTGCTGTTGCACAATATTCTTTTCCCTTACCCTTCCCACGAAGTTTCATAACATGACAAGTCCTCTCTTCTGATTTTCATTTTTAATTTTACTGTTGTTGCTTTTCTCTAAGTAAGAAGTCCAGGGACTCTCTTCTGGCTCCCAAACTCAAGCTGTAGCCTGAAGGCATGGGATGGAGCCTGCCCTCTGTGTGCACTTCTGTGGAACTGGTTGTCCTCAGTGAAAAAGACAAACCAATGTCCAAACCCATGTCTGCTGCATGCAGAATCCAGATTTTCTCTGTAGCTGACGATCTTTGGCAAGCAAGAGAGACTCTTTTTATACGATCTTGAACATTTAAAAAGCAGTAATAAATATATGATAGCCTTAGAGGTGTGATTTATTTGTTTTATGAATCACAGAAGAGTCCATAACTCATAAAAGATTAAGGCTGAAGCAAGCTGTATGGCTCATGCATTACAAGTGGAGATTAATGTCTTATTTCACAAAGCGCCATCATTAACCAGTCTACATTACGGCAGTTTAATGTTACTGACAGAAAGAATTGACTTTTAACATTTTCAAAAAACTCTCGTTTTGGTTTGTCTTTGCCAGGGGGAATTCTTAGGGAAGAGAAAGATTTTGCAGGGAAGGAAATCTATCTCAGTGCCAGTCTGAAATGCCTCCTTACTGGTACACCAGCGCCCTGAGCTCTTATTGTGGAGATCCACAGGGTCAGCACAAGACAGTAAGTACAGCTTTCTCCCCATGTGTTGATGGCTTCAAAGCAGTTGAGAACTGGAGTCACCCCATGACTGGAGATGCTGAGTCACCCCAACTCGACTTCTCTTCATTAGAGGATCTCAGTTTATTATCTTATCAAATGGCAAGAGCAGCCTTTGCAACAAGAGCACTGCAAAAAGCTCAAACAATTCTCTCCACCTACTGTGCTGCTGTGGCTGCTCCCATTTTATATCAGACAAGAATGGCTTTTCCTCACCACTTACAGGGCTTCTTGCTTCCCAGGGCCATAATTAGTTAAATCTCATCATTCATGGGTATCATCATATTTATTCCTGAACCGTGGATTATGTCCGCGAGTGACTTTATCTTTCATTGTAGTGTGCTGTGTCACAACACTGCAATATTGAATACGATGTAATTTACTAAAATCTATTAAAACTCTCCCATTTTAGAAATCCATTACATGCTTCCTTGTTCTTATTACCATATCCAAGAATGCCAGCGCAACAGGAGAATTAACTTGATGAACAATCCTGCAAATATGCCATTACAAGCTGTTTCTAAAGCATCTTTCAAGGCATCTCCGTCAGCTCATGGACTCTCTTTGGTTTTCTTTCTTTTCTAGAACTATTTTCTAGCCCTTAGTTGTGGTAAGTGATTATTTGTGCTTTCAAACAAACTCCATGAAAAACGTTTTTCAAGTGGAGATCAAAGAGCAAAGGCAAACATAAAAGCAGGCTTATAAAAACTGTATTAAAAAACCTAAGCTCCATCCATATGCCAATTACATCCAAACCTTATGGCCTCATCCCTATGAAGCTTCTTAAAGGTGATAGAAATGTCAGATGAAACAAAAAAGGGATGCATTACAGAGAGGGGAATTACCAGTGTGATGGGAGGTGGCTCTCGGTAACCTTTGACAGAAGAGTTCTGGTTGGGAAGTGCAGCTCCATGGAGCAAAGCTTGCAGCACAAACTGCGGTCCCCAATTAGAACAGTCTGAGGGCTGTAATCACTTCTAATGGCTGCAGGTGCCATTAAGGAGAGTTTCCAGAAGCTGAGGGGGATGTAAAACAGTGTCATAAGCCTGCAAGAGCATGGAAATTCTTCAGTCCTTCTGAGCATTTGTTCTGAAGAGCTTGAGGGATAGTTTATTCTTCATGGTTATACACTTCTAAAATTTGTATGTACAATGAGCTCACATGCTTCCCTGTAACAGTTCTCTAACCAGGTTGCTCATTTCTGTTGCCAATTGCCTGATGGTGGGATAGTGGGGCAAGCCACAAAGAGTTTCTCCTGGGACAAAATGCCCATGACGACTGAAGGTGACAGACACTCAGGTATCTGGAGAAATTATATGGTACCGATGATAGTGGATTTAAGCAAACAGCAAAAAAGGCTTCAAGGAGTGCAATTATTTTAGATAATTAAACTCCCTGCACTTGCTGACTGCAGTTGGTCCAGATTGCGCTGCCATCTCCATGCAACCATAGCAACTTCTTCCTTCTGTTGTGTCCCAGATTAATGTGAACACCTGGAATCAAAAACCTGAGGCTTGCGAGTAAGGTACATAAAACTTTATTGATCCTTTGCATATGGCAAGGATCCAGTCACACAGCAGTGATTCACTTTCCAAAGCTCTGTCTCAGCAAGGAGCAGTGGTGGTCTCTCCGGAGGCCACTCTCTTTGACTGCTTCGAAGTCCCAGTCAGGAATATTTTAAGGAGATGACTACAGGAAATTGCACATTCCTTCAAGAGATGCGAGCCTTCATCTCTAACATTTTAGCATATTAGTATATTTAAGAATAGTTCACAATTAAATATGTCTTTGTCTTACCGACTTTTTTTACTGGGCTCATTTCAGTGCTCTGAAATTCATACATGCCACCAGGGTTCAATGGGAGCCTGTGGGCAATTAAGGTAAAATTTTAGCCTTGGTCATATGTGACTGCTCCTATAAATGTGGTGGAACACAGTTGGAGCACGTATCCCCAGAGAGTAAATAGGCAATGCTTTAAGGAAGCCATGGAAAGATAAATGGATGCAGAAGAGGTTCTGGAATTCTGCTTAAAATAATTCTTGCTTTGCTTTTAATGATCAAAACCATTCCTCCCACTGAACCACATAAAAAATAGCATTTGTGTCTGTGCCAAAGGTGGAACATAGTGTAGACCCATTGAAATAAAAGACAAGTGAAAAATTAATGAGAAACTGGAAACCAGCAGCTCCCACCCTGTGAGCAGTAGTCTTTTATATACTTCTTCCACAGCAAGAGTCTCAACGGGTCTAAAATCACAGTAGCTCCTTTGACTTCAAAGGAGATGCACCAATTGAGAGGGAGAGCAAACAATCTGGAGTGCACTGTACCAATCTGCAGAACTTAGGAAGGGGAGAGAGCCACTAATCCAACTCTAACACCTCCCCAAAAAGCGAATATTTTTGTTATAAAACAGTTTTAAGCAAAGGGGAGAAGCACCTACAGGTGATGTAGCTTAAAATACTTGTTCCTCATGTTGTTTTTGGGTGGGTTTTTTTTTGTGAAACTCTAATGAAATAAGTGGAAACATTCTGTCTTCTCATCTGTTCAGCAGTCATGTGAGACATTTTTTCCTCAAAATGAGAATTTATGGGCATGAGATCACAAATGGCTCACAATATTAATGTGTTCTTCTGTTGTTACTTATGAGCCAAAAAGGGCTGTTATGTGCATAACATGCAACCAAAATCCAAGGGATTTTCCTGATCTACTGTCTTTCCTGGTATGTTCATATAATAACATTTGTCTACCATAGCATGCGTAGTAAGTTTGCTCTCCAGTTTTGAAACAGTGCCTTTGCAACCTAGGGAGTTCATTATCACCTGCTCGCTGCGAGTAGTACCTCTCTAAACCCACCGTTTCTTAGGAGCTGGATATATGGTGTTTTAATTGCATATCGTTAAATGCTTTATTGATACTGTATATTTTCTGTGAAGTCTATGGGGCCATAATTTCCTCCCCTGTAATTAACTGAGTTCATACAGCAGCTCTGGCAAAGTGTCGTCTAGAAGGCAGGGAGGTAAAAAGAGCCCACACAAGGTCTGCATGAGGCCCTCGTTTATGCTGGTACCTGAAGTCTAGCTGTTCTGGGTTTGTGCTGCTGTGAGGGCACAAGTGAGGAGCTAGGAGTTGGATTTGATGATCCTTATGGGTCCCTTCCAACTGGAAATATGCTATGATTCTATATTCTAAGTCAGCAGCATCACACCACTCGTACTCACCTCTACTCTGTCCCTCTGCTCCTCATCCTCTGTAACCTCTAACTTGTGCTGCTGCAGCTCCTGGTGGATGGACACCTGTAGACCAAATCTCCTCTACTGATTCTTATAACACTGTTAGGAACAGGCCTGTCCCTGAAACTTCTACCCCTCTGTCAAAGTAGGTTGAAATTGAGCAATGAGTTGAAAAGTTATTGAGGAGGGGAGGAGGATGTAGACACAGATGCACGGACACAGATTGCATAAGCCTCGTTCCCATGAGAAACCAGGCTGAAAAACAAATTGTCCTAGCATGGATTCTCATAACTCTGCCTGGTAAGTAGGTCATGCCAGGTCTCAAACTCAAGTAACTTTTCCTTTATCTTCATTTGAGCTCTCCTACAGGAAGCAGCCCTGGTTTCAGCAGATTTGATCCCTCTTGTTCCTGACCACTGAGGCAACATTATGGAAGAAAACCAACCAACCCTCACACATGCCAGTACAAAACAATGTCAAACACCACCACAATCTCAGACCACAGCAAGATCTATGCTGAGGGACAGTCAGAGAGCTAATAAACCAACAGCAAACAGCTGTGACATCAACTGGCTCATTACCCACTCACTCTCTAGGAGATCAAGGGGTCTAGAACAGAAGGCACATCAATATAACTTAATTCAATCCCATAGTCTTTTTTTTTTCCTACAGAAACTCTTCACAACATACAAACTCTTAATGAAAAATAGACCCTAATTATGCAAAAGGAATCCCCAAAGTTGTTCTCATTGTACCCTCAGCGTACAGAAAGCCCCGTAGCACCAGATTTATTTTCACCAGCTACTTATTTGGTCAAATGTGTACAAAAGCAGTCACATAAAATTGTTCTTTTTGTATTTATCCCTACAAATTTTGAAGGAAAATGGACTTATCAGAGTAATCAGGAGATGGTGAATGGGCTTTTTCTGTGTGTTTTCATCTTCATACTTGGTGACTATGAAGTGTTGTCACACGAAGTGATGTTTGCTCTTTGCACAGTCTGCTGTGTTCACTTTCTACATATGCTTTCCACAATGTTCCAGTGAAAGGCCACAGTTTCATCCAGTGCAGTTGTTTGAAAATGAAATCCGCAGATTTTTCCTTATAAATTGGACTTGCAGCTCAAATTAAAGGACTAATAGCTTTACAGCTCTACCCCTTGCAAATCACTCTGTGAGCACAAACATTACAGGAGCCAAATCTTCCTGCAAAAAGGGACGAGCACAACCACAACAAAAAGAATATTCCTTCAAGTAACAATTAAAAAAAAAGCAAAATGTGTGCAAAGTTGGGCTCACATTTGATTACCATGCCAAGTTACTTCAATCACAAATACAGTTCTGGCAATTAATGGAGGGTTTTACAGCCCTTATTACCTGCCTTACATGCAGCATTATGACTATTTTGCTAGGATTAAAAGGGGAAAGGGCTCAGCTCAGTTACAGAAGCAGCTACTGCTCAGAAAACTGGACAGAATCCTCCTATAACCAGAGAGAAACTGCAAATTAATTGTAAGTTAACTGCAAACAAACAAACAAAAAGCACAAATTTATTGAGAAGGAAAAAAAAAAAAAACACACTTCAGACTGTCTGCATTTCACCTGGGTGTGGAATGGCAATAACCAGCCCTCCTTCAGATGATTCCTTCCCCTTAAAACTGTTTTTTTCTGTCACCTAAAAATGTGTTAATCTTTTTGCCCAGCTGATGAAGAGCCCGGCTCCTTTTCCTCCTTCCAACAAGCCTCAGCTTGAAACCACCAGAGCCAGAATGCTCTGCTTGTCTCCCCTGCCAGCAGTGCAAGCTGAAAGGACAGGAGTTCTCTCTTTTAATTGTAGCCACCAACAAGTGGGTATCAAGTGCAAGTCACTCCTTTAGGCACTCTGTGTCTGACACAGAGAGAAGAGCCCCTTGGAGGTGCCACTGACTACCGGTGACTAATTCAGACTAAACACCTGTAAGTAGGCAAGATGAATCCCACCCATGGAGTTTGCTTCTTCCTTGAGGCCAATTAGATGTAAAAGCTGCTGCACAGTGATCTGGTTTTGAGGCTTCGAAACAAGGCTTTCAGTCAAAAATGCAAATTTGGTGAAAATAAGACCTTTTTGTGGGAAACGGCTCATTTCTGATTCCTGCCTTAGAAGGATATTTAGAAAAAAAAAATAGGTGTGGTTTTTGTAGTCTCAAAAAGCAGAATTTCCATTTTCTGTATGAAACGAGTCAATGAGTCTGGCATTTGAAATTCACGTTCATCTACGGTCATTTAAAAAGATAGGGTCAACATGAAAAAAAATCATCCCAATTACCCACTGGGATGATTATATTTGACACATGGATTTGTAAAGGAATTTCAACCTTTTTCTTTTCATCCCAATTTAGGAGAAAAATATATATGTATGTCTTCAAGCTTCTATTGGAGAAAGAAAAGCTATTTCCAGTATAGCTTTAGTGCTTCTCCTAAAGGTGAATCACTCCATGCTGGAATCCTGCAGCTAACTTTACTTGTGCTGATGCCCAGCTCCAGCCCAGCCATCTGGGTGATGGGTACCACTGCAAATATTTTGGCCATAAATAAACATGGTGAGAGGTACAATCACAATTGTGTTTTGCTTAATCTAAAGGATGCATAAACCTGTGCAGAGGGAACTTGTGCTGTGACTTTCCCTGCAGGTGAGGTTATGCTGAGCAGGAGAATTTGCAATGTAGCCTCAGGTTTCACCTGGTAAGAGCAGCACTGTCCTGCTCCTTGCAGATGCACTTTCTGTGCCACAAAGCCCCATGGTGCCCTTTGGACTGTTGCTGCCACTGAATACAGCTGCACAAAAACTAATATTGAAAAACAGTTAACATCTCAGCATGAAAATAGGCTGTACAGCATATGCTTTTAACATTAAAAAGAGGAAACAGTTGAGGGAAAAAGATGCAAACCTGGCAAGTTTTTCTTTGTGGGGGAGAAAAAAAAGGAAGAAGAAGGAATAAGGGAGAAGACAATTTGCAGCACTGCTGTGTGCAGACCAACACCAGTGTGAGGAATTGCACTGGTGCAGAGCAATTCAGGAGGGATACCTGGGAGTGGGTAGGGAAGGAATTGGGGCAGCTGGGAGCTTGGGTGCATTTTTAGATTGCCCCCAGCTCCTGCAGCCCCACAAGAAGCTCAACATTCATTTTTTTTCAACAGTTAAGTTAGGAGAGTGTTTTGGCTACAGAGGGGAAGTTCAGAATACTCACTGCGTGGATTCCAAAAATGATAAGCAGTACAGAACATCTCTTCTTTTCCTTTTTTTTTTTTTTTTTTTTTTTTTAAACTGGAGGAAAAAAAAATCCTCTGTGCTTTTGAAACCTCGTTATCTTGTGATATTTGAAAGGCTGGTGCTGATACTGCTTTCCAAAGTAAAGAGGCACAAAACAAGTCATACAGCATCAAATCTTGTTCTCATTTCTTCGGTGAGCCAGCATGGATGCAGCTGAGCAGAACAGCATGTCCAAAGGAAGGCAGCAAACAGCCCTCCAAGGGATGAAGGGGATATTGAAAACAGCAGGCCACCATTAAATTGTTTGGCCAGCAACTTTGAGACAAGCATTGTTCACCCAACAAACCACTCCATCTGCCATCTTGGATTTGCCTTATGACTTTTCAGCAATGTCATTTGCAGGCCTCCTAATGAATGCCAGGCTGACAGCCCTGCAGGAAGGCTGACTCAGAGTCAGGAGAACCCTGGAGAAGATGCTCCCCATCCAGGCAAAGCCTTGCGTATGCTGCCCTTCCTGTCTGAAGGCAGCAGTTTGCCATGAACCACTATGAGCTTCTGAGTTCACGAGATCAGGATGAGGGCACCGGGTTACGTCTTGTCGCTTCTAATGGAGATAAATAGGTCATGTGGTGATCTAAGAGTTCATTGGGAGTTACATGCAGGCTGTGGTATGTCTTTAATAAGGAGATAGCTCATACTTTGGATTCACTTTGCCTGCAGTCCTCTTTTCTTCTCTGCCTCCTGTGTATTTGAACGCGCGCACACACACACACAAACCACAGACATGTGGACTAATCACCCGCTGGACTAAGTCTGTTTGAAAAACATTTTCAAAGAGAATACACTCCTCTTTGCTGGTTGAATGTGGGGGAGGGCGGGAGGGAGAGCAAACAACAAAAAATCAGAAATCTGAAATACTTCTGATGATGCCTTGGTAGAAAAAAATGAATACTTGAACTTTACTGAGATGCCTTTTTACTAGCTTAGGATCCATCTGCCCTGCACTGTTAGGTGGAGGTTGGCTTCCAGGTGTGGGCACTCAAGTTTAATCTTTCCAAGTGCTAATTTTATCTTCTCATCTCTCTGTTCCCTTAACTTCTTATTTTCTTAAATTGGAAAAGCTTTACATTTCTACCCCATTGAATCCATGTCCAGAATCTTCCTCCTTCGTATGTAGCTGTGAGCAGTAATGGGATGGTGAGCAAGAGTTCTGTGTACATACATACTACACACACACACAAACATATATATATATATATACAGTGGGGACTCTGGGTTAATATTTGAATCAGCCGAGGTAATACTTCAAGGTGGACGTATGAGGTCAGATTTTAATCCTTGTTTCTGCACACAGGAAAACTGCACAAGGACAATTTCTTTCTTCCTCTATACCTATGTCAACTGTGCCAAATGGAAAATTTGCATGTGAGAAGGAGAGGCTGCTTTGAAGTTACATGAATCATTCTGAGGGGCATTGCCCTACCTAAGTCATCTCATTGTCCATCTAAGTCATCTCCTCTATTTCCTCTTCAAGGTGTCACGTGAAAGCAAACCACAACAGCTTGTGCCATCTCTTGCTCAAGTAGATTATTTTTATCCAGTAATGAATGCCCTTACTTCCCTCTTCTTGATGGATCAATGGCTCTCCTGAAGTCTCTTACTGTCCTGCAAACCTAACTGTGTCTGCACTGAGTGCATCTTCAAGAGTCAACCAAGTGACTTGCTCTCATTTTTAACACCGACATTTTCATCTGTGGAGGGATCATGAAAAAAAAACACAGTGGAAAAATAAAGGATGTACTTTCACTTCAGAAGGGCTTTCTTGGC